CTAATCTGGCCAAGAAGATGGATCTCATACTTACCATTTGTTTACTCAACCAATAAATATCTCATGAGAGTATACCACATACTAGACCCCAGTATTACCATGATCCCTGCATCCAGGTAAATCAATCTATTCCTAGTTTGTTTGGCTTTTTTTTCACCTTTTTCCTCTTGGCATTCTTTCTTATTTCTACTGGTTTGGTCGAGAAGCTCTTTATTTCCTCCTGTAATGTGAGATTTCCACTGTGCGCTTACCTTCTATTTATAGTTAACTTTCCTTTCTGAACACAATAACTAGACACATGTTTAATTATTTGTTTAAATGATGGAGGCTTTTCCCTTGATCAAGACGTTCTATGTCATCAGTGATTTCTCTTTCCCCAGTACAGCTAGACCATGAGAGACGATGCCTTCTTGACCCCATGAAATCTGTAAGAGGTGTTTACTTTCCCCCTCTATCTGCCTCCTTAAACTCCTGAGTAGGCTGTTCTTTTCCTTAGAGACAATTATTAGGGTTTCCCCTGCAGTCTGTCTTTTCTAGTCCAGTCATTCTTATTTTGTGCTTAGATTCCACATTCCCAGTCACATTCTGATTTTTCACTTAGATTTTGGTTATAACTATTACAAAACGTATCACCCTTTCTTTCTCTCCAACTCATATTCCACTGTCTTGAAGTCTCAATTCTGATTTGTTTGCTTTTCTTTTTAGAGTTCCTACATAAATATTCCCTCAGATGGGATGGATGAGTGGTATGTAGTCTTTGACATCTTGACATTTCTGTCTCTTATCCAAACAAATGTTACACTTGGGTTGAATCCTCTCTGCTAACTATTCTGTACATGTTAGTCCACCATGTTCTAGCTTCCAGTGTTTCATATGAGAATCAGGTACTGATTTGATTTTTCTTCTTAGTAAGAAAATTATGTTTTCCATCAAAAACTTTTTCTAAGGTCTGGCCCCATGGCCTAGTGGTTAAATTCCATGTGCTCCTCTTCAGCAGCCTCTGGTTCAGTTCCTGGTCATGGACCTACACCACTCATTGTTGGTCATGCAGTGGCAGTGACCCACACACAAAATAGAAGAAGATTGGCACAGATGTTAGCTCAGGGTGAATCTTCCTCAATCAAAAAAGGAGGAAGATTGGCAACAGATGTTAGCTCAGGGTGACTCTTCCTTAGCAAAAACAAACAAACAAACAAAAACTTTTCTCTATCTTCTCTTATCATGACTATCTAAAATTCAGTGAGTACTTTTCCATCTTCATAACAATTTATTAATTTATTTGTTGTTTTTATTCAACTATTCTCTTTCCTCCTTTGGAAATCTTATTATTTTAACATACTGAGTATCTTGGATCTGTTCTCCAAGACTCCTGTCCGTAATAATTTCCATCTCTTGATATTTTTTCTTTGTTTCGGAACATTTATTCCAAGCCCTAACTAAGGTCACAGACATGACCCTCATCTTTTTCTACTTGATCAGATGCTTTTTCAGTTCTCAAGTCATATTTATAAATATAAAAAGATTGGGAGTTTTTGTATTTGATTCCTTATCAGTGATCTTTTATATTTTAAACAAATGTTGTTGTCTGTCTCCTCTAACAGCACTGCTCCTCCGGGAGTCATCTGTTCTGAGTCTTCTGTTGATTCTTTCTCTCTCTGTTTGCTGCATTTATTTGCCTGGTCAGTGGATCTCAGGCCCAGCTGTTCAGGCGCCCAAAGTGGCAGCAGTCCTTTGATTGGCAGGAAGCAGAGAGGTCTACGCCTGTGACCTGAGACACACAACTGGCATCAGAAGAAACTCTCTCTGCTTTCCCATCTCCCAAGCTGCCAAGGCTGGCAAAAGCTGGGAACTGCAGCTGGCACTTGCCCAGTGTCGGGAAAAGAGGAGATCAAAGTCACTTGCTTGCCTTTGCCCTGCTCTTGCTGCTCCCATCAGTCACTGGATTGACCCATGGTTTGAGTGTTGGGTCATGCCTTAGCACACACACACATATGCTTGTCACAGTGTGTTATTTCTGGTTGAGCTCATTCTCCCTAAAATAATGACTAGTAAATTAGCAAACAGTTAGTGTAACATGTAGCATATTCAAGGAGCCCAGAATTATAAAATCTTAATGTTCCATAGATAAGTTGAGACTCAGAATTGTAGTAATGCTTTTCCAGGTCAGTGGGGTCATAGGATTTTGTAATATCTGATAGATTTTTTGGAATGAACTGATTCCTAGGAAGCCAACTTATAAAACTTTGTCATTATTCCTGAAATACATTTCAAGATCGCAGCTCAAATTATCATCAATGATTGCCTTCAATGACAAAAAGCATAATTTTAATTGTTTTAAAGTGTTTTACGGAGTTGAAATTGAAGTAAGAGGCACACAAATGAAGGGTCAAAGTTTTGAAATCACGGAGCTCCCCAAAATACATTCCCAAAGTCCCTCTTTCCCTCAGTATTATAATTAGGCATTATGAAGTTCTCCATTGTTCTACTTTTTCTTATCTATGGAACGAGCCATATAATGATACACTTTACTTCCTCTTGTTTTAAGATGTTTTGAAAAGTCAAATCAGGACCTTTTTCTATATGTAGAAGTTAAATAATCTAGTAACTTTCATCCAATGAAGGACATAATGGAGGCAATTTATTTGAGTACATTTAAATGTAAGTAATATATTTGGTAACATGAATCTTGGATCTGCTAGATTCATCTGGAGCCTTTTTTAGTATTCAGGGACAAGTACAGTATGTCACAAGATGACAAGAGCCCACAAGAGGATGATAAAAGTGCCAGACAAAGCCTGAAAGAAGACACAGTTTTAGTTTCCCTATTCCCACCTTTCCTGATAATGTCCTTGTCATTATCTGTTATGGCAGTGGGATTGTTTGGGGGTTTGGAGAGGGACAAGTTATAAGCTATTTACACATAAATAATAACTACATAAAATAAAACTTTATCTAAAAAGATACTTGAAACTAAATTCTCTACATTTTTCTGCCTACTCCCATGAAACTATTGTGTAAAAATTTCCTAAGATTTCTCACGCCACCCTGGTTCATCTTCTCTTTTATACCATATGACCACAAGAAAGACATGCTATGGCAGGGCCTCTTTTGACAGTAAAAACATGATGCCTTTGAATACCCATAGGGTCCCTTAAACCATGGGACAACCAGTACCAGCACATTCCATGCTTTTTGCTGCTCTCAAAATCAAGTACCACCAGAACCCTCACAATGCCTCCAGCCTTCACCATATTTTAGTCTCTGATTCCCTGGGTATGTTTTATTGTTCAGGCACAGAAATCATACTTCCATGGGTGGGAAGTGAGGAAAAGTATAAAGCTATAAAGGCAAAGCTGGTGACACACCCTCTCCCCATCTCTCTAAGCATTAAAGTTCTCCTCGTTCTTCTCTTGTATGGAAATGGGTCCTACAAGAATAGCTGATCTGGGCTATACAACCTGCTGCTTCTTCTGCTCCTCCTTTCTGATCTTCACGATCTAGAAACATTTCCACACCCCCGAATTTCCTCTTCCTTCTTTTCTCACTCTCTACACAACTTGCACTGTATTCGTTCAAGGTGAGGCCTCAACTGGTATCTTCCAAAGTATAAAAGCTGGGAAGAGCTATAGACTCTATCTGAGTCCAGATTCCTCCTTACCTATAAGGAACTTATAGTCCAGAAAGGAAAATTCATTAGATCAAGTTTACAAGACCATACTTTGGCCAGCACTAGTTCTTGGGTCTTCTAACTTTCAGCCAAGTCATCTTTCTACCATCCTTATGCCTTGTTGTAAAGGAAAACACATGAGTTAACATATCACCTATCATATAAGAATAGTTTCTAATTGTGATCTTATAATTTTTAAATTTGGATTTGGAATCTCCCTCCCGGCCTCCCACTTTCACCCCAACAAGGTTGGTGTAAGAGTAGTCAGACAGAAAAAGTACCCGACTGATCTTTGATATTTATGGCCATTTAGAAAGACTTGACCCAGAAGGAAGATGTCATTTTACCAGGAACACTATCCATTTAGTCATTTGAACCCAACAAGTAAGTTTGAAGACACTCCTCAACAGTCAACTTCCTGGGAAAGCTACCAGCTGAAAAGGGTCAATTTTTCCCTGAGGATTCCATTTTTCTTAATGGAAAGGACATTTCTCACAAATAGGAGCTTATTTCCTGCTTTTTGTTAATAAGGGAAGCCAATGTTAGAATGAAGGCCTTGGGGATGAGAAAAAATGAGTGGAACAGTCCTTCGGCAAAGTTGCCTGAGGGATTTGGCTCCTTGACAGTGAAAATAGGCCTCATCTATATAAATTCTGTAGGTTGGGACAGCCTGAGTCTCAGCCAGCCTCAGTGGAGTCCTGTGGGGAAAAGAATGTCTAGACATCAGAAACCAAATTATTGCTTTTTAGAAAGTTGCTAAAAGCAATACCGGCTGCAATGGGCTCTAATGAAGAGCTGAGGAGCATCATCACATTTACTTCAGCAGCCACATGAAGCAGATATTTTAACCAGTTAGACGTGATCTATTATTCCAAATAGCATCATCGTTTGGAAAAATACTTCTTATTGATTGAATAGCACAGTTATTTACACTCTTAAAAAATGCTTTGCAAGAGGAGAAATTCAACAGACAATGAACTTGCATGTGCTAAGCATGAGTTCTACAGGGAGAAGCCTTCTCAGGGCCTCCCAGGGAAATAGAGCCCTCCTTTTAAAGGTTTCTGGTGCCTCAGTTTGTATTTAAGGAACACAAGAAACCAAACTATGAGCTAGTATCAGTTTAAAGTGGCTAGCCATAATCAAGAAAGATAGTAAATATTTTGGATTTCAGAGAGAATTAAAACTCTGAAATAATGGACAAAAAAATGCTAAATATAATATGAATCAATGTAAAGTCATGCATTTTGTTTCTAAAAGTTAATTTTCCAACCCCAGCTGAGGGAGTCTGGTTAATAAGAGCTCTCCTGAGATTTTCAGTTTACTGCGAGAGAAATATAACCTAAGAATGTAGTGAAACAGCTAAATTAGCCAATGAAATCTTTGTATCTTGGAGAGAAGTAATATTTCTTTATCAGAAGAAGTGGTATTTCCATTTTTATTCCTGAACTTTCCTAAACCATGCATTGGGTTGATTTTTTAATCCAGTGCAAACCTTCTACATATTTCTTAATTGATTTCTACAGAAGCTTTTAGATAACTATTAGCTTTATTGGCATTTTACAGATAAAGAACCAGACACTAGAGCACTGAACAACTTGCCTGAGATCACAGATGGTAGATGGTAGGTGGCGGAGCGAGGATTCAACCCAAGTAGACCAGTTCTAGAGCCTGTGATTGGAAAGAGATAATTTTAGTAACAAATTTGAAAATGCAGTTATATGAAGAACAGTAGAAAGAACTGAAATGTATTTAGGTTAAAATAAGGGGAAGAACTATAACTTTCTTCAACCATTTGAAGCAAAACCACGTGAAAGAAGAAACTGCTTTAGGATATAGGACTAACACCAGCGGGTAAAGGCGACAGAAGTTCAGATTCTGAATGAAGGTGACTCTCATGGCAATTTGACTTATCAACAAAGAATTGTGGACTATCACACATATTATTGCAAACATTTCGAAGAGAGATTATTGTGAGCTTTCAGAGGGCTATAGCATAGGAGATTCTGAAGGTAGATGATTTAATACTGGAGTTTATGGGAGAAGAAGGGGAGGAAGACCCTTCCCCTAGAAGGCTTCATGATGCGTGATCCCTAAGCTTGCCGGTTGAAAGCCAGCTTTTGGTTGGCTGCCCAAATGTTTTCTATATACTGCTTATTCTCAAATATGCAGATATTTTAACATGGGAATGAGTATCTGTACCAAGAAAAACAATCTGTAGGAAAATAAGAAACAGTATAGTCATTGAATAGATATCCTTTCCCTAACCATACACTCGTCTTGCTGTGGGGGCCTGAGGAGCAGAGGTTGGCAGAGTCTTTTACCCAAAGGTTGAGGGGATGCAGAAGACAGCAGAAGTGGGAGGGCAAAGATCTCAGCACTAATTAGGGACCTGCATCCAGGACACTGGGGAGTAGATTCTGAATGGGTTTTCAAAATCACGGGATCAGAAACAGACTTCAAAACCTGGAGGCGGTGATGGAGAGGTGAGCCAGCCAAGGAGCAAGCAAGAAAGAGTGGATGCAGAGCAGACCGGGCGCTGCTGGAGTTCTAAGTGGGGCTCCTCTGTGCTCAGCTTCACGAGAAACTACAGCATTTCAGGACAATGAGGCAGAGGGTAGTGTTGGGTTTGGCGTTTTTGTCTAAGTGAAGGGAGTAAACATAAAACAAGAGGTCTGTAGGGGCTTCTATAATGGTGAACCAATTAATTTATGCTAATTATTTTGCAACCAATTCGAGGCATTACAAGAGATATAAATGTGGCTCAGCCTCCTTCACTCAGTCTCTTCCTTATTTCTGTAAGATATATAAATTATTCCAAAATACAAGGAATATGAGAAATGCCCCAATTTTTTGTCTCTCTAAGTTAAATTAAATCCAGGTGGGGGCCCGCCAACAAGGTTGGCAAAAGGGTGTTGGTAAGAATCATCCTCTTCTACGTCCAGTGAGATCTAAGCATATCCAGCAGTTGGTCCGAGAAAAAGAGGAAATAAGTTCATTCTAGTTCTCAGCCCACTATGGTCACCACTATTAATAATTTTTTCTAACTCCCAGGATAACGTGAAAGTGGGCAGCCCCGCAGCAGGCACATTCCTCCACGAGGAGAAACATGAGGAGCGGCCCCAAGCTCCTAAAGCCTAGCGCCCGAATGTCAGAGAGCAGGGCCCTCCAATTCTCCCAGCATGGCAAGTCTGCAGGAGAAATTAAACAAAGACAGCAACATTTTTTCAATCACTATAATTGCTTTCTGCCTACCTTTCCTTCTTTTTTCCCTTCTGTCTTACCTAATTTCAAAAGTAATTTATAACGCCTTAAGAAAAAACACAGATGTAGCAAGACGAAGTTTCTTTAAACCAGAAGAAAATACAAAAGACTTGTTATATAGGACTGGGTATGAATGAGGACTTTCAACACAAGCGCAGGGTCAGAGAGGGTGATGGCAAGGCGCGTACCAAAATGGACACGACCTCTGTCTCAAGGAAATTACAGTCCACCGGGGAAATATCAATAAGACTAGTTATAATAACAGTTATGCCTGGAGTTTCTACAGTGGTTAAGCTTATAAACAACTCTAGCGTCCAAGGTCTCTGCTTGCACCTGCAGCGCCCTTGTGCAAATTACAAAGAAGTGTCCCTTCCAGGTGGATGAATTACAAAAGTGTGCCTCATCCTCCCAATCTGTCTCCAACAGTGTTCCTCATCTGAACCACAGAACATCAAAAATGATTTCAGTGACTCTGTCCTCAGTGCTTCCAAGGACGGTGCATCCAGGGTACCACTCTGGATGCATAGCAGATATGTGAATTCATTGCATGCAGCGGATGCACCAGGGCAGTAGAGCTGGAGTCTCATGGAAGTCCACTTGAGAAAGACTGCTGGGCTCGGGGTGGGACTGGATGGAGCCCCTACTCGCTCCCTCATCGGCATAATCGAATACTGTGGCCCAGAAAGTTGCTTTGATTTAATAGTGTTCAGACTTGAATTCAAGTCTTTAGCTAGTAGTTAAATTATGACCCCTCGTTGCCTCTTTTATACTAAGTGTCAAAAGAGGGCATAAAGTGCTACATATATGCAGGAAGTTAAAGAATGTTTTTAGTCCAAAAACCAAAAAATACTTCATGAAGGTGATATTTAATATTTTATCCCTAACTCTGTGATACGATTTTAATTGTTGAGATGGGAAAAGACTGTCCTGATAAAAGGCATTGAGGGGGTGCATGCATCTCAATTATGCTGGAGTGGAAAGTTTGTGAAGGAAGGTAAGTTGTGACCACATGATGCAGGAGCTCAAATGCCACTGAGACTTTGGGGAGGCAATAAGGCATCATTAGAAATGAGCACTGGGAAGAAATTCTGGCATGGGTGTGTATAATAGATTCAATGGGAAAGACTTAAATGCTCATAATATGATTAAGGTCACATACCTACAGCATACTAGTTAAGGTTCCGGCAAGCACTAATAAATCTGGTCAAAATTAATGTAGACTCAAGGGAAGGGATGTGAGTGAGAAGGCGGCAGCTGCACTGGTGAGGAGAAGTGTCTGTAATCAGACAGATCTGCGTTTACACCTCCACTCCATGCTTATTACTAATGGAATTGACACATTGTGCTCTCGGCCTCAGTTTCCTCATTAATAAAGTGAATTCAAAAATTTAAAACAACCTGACTCATGATTGTTTTAAGGCTTAAAAAATAATGCTTATAAAGCCCAACATATTGTGTGTTCTCAGTAAATGCCTGTGATGATTAAGGATGGGGGAAAAAAAAGGAGACAGAAGTGGCAGGTGCAGGACTGGGTTAGCAATATGACTTGCCATAGAAGTGAATGTAGACGACAGAAGGAGGCTGAAGGAGTAGGCAAAGACAACTCAGAACTTTCACGTGTTTATAACTGGGAGAATGGTGGTGCCAGTAACAGAATCAGGGCTACCAGCCAGTTTCAAGTTCAGGCTTGAAAAGGAAAAGAAAACAATTGCGAAGACTTTTAGAGGACGTTGTTATACTAGGCTATCTCAGCGCAATATTTAGTGCATACAGACCACCCAGCAGAACCCAGTACAAAGGCAGCACTCCAGTCTTCTGTGACCCTGTGGTCTCAGTCGTTGCTACTCAAAATGTGCTCCACGACCAGCAGCACTCGAGCCACCTGGGAGCCTCAAAGAAATGCAGGATCTTTGGCATCTCCGCAGACCAATTGAATGAGAATCTGTATTTTAAACAAGATTCCAAGGTGATTCATACTCAAAATAAGTGTCTAGAGGCACTGCTCCAGCCGACCCTGGGGGCAGGAAGAGGGAAGGTCAGTTAACTAGACGACTAAATCTCATCTGTTTACTCTTTAGACTGTAATCTGATTAAAGGAATTTGATTGTGGTTGTTGACTAAACGAATACATTAAAGAATCATATGACATGGCCTCACTCTGCCTCAGTTTGTTCCATTGCGACTTTATGGGCCCTTTCTAGGTCTGGGGAACAGACCTCAAAGGGACACATCATGTTGTTTGAACTAAAACCATTATGGAACTAAAACAGCCACATATTTGAATCCACAAAACAATAACAATTATCAGTAAGTGACGGCATTTTCCCTCCTAAAGAGAAGATTACTTGGCTCTTAGCATTGTGTTCAGGTTTTGAAATAAAAGCTCCTCTATTCAGTGACTCAAACCATATGTTATATTCTATTCAGCAAACTTACCGTCGTAAACCCAGGCAGTTTTCCTTTGTATGCTTCAGGTGTAATAGATACTAAAGCTTTATAGAAAGCAAATTAGTCTCGACAGTGGTAATATAGAAGGAGCTTTCATAAAAAGGCCATACCAAAGCATCTGGACTTGCTCAAGCCTTAGTGTAAGTATTTATTTTTATTGTCACAGCAGATCACCTCTATTGTATATTTTGCAATGCATTCAATTTTCACTTGTAAAAATTACTTCAGAGACAGTTTAATGTTTTTCCTTCTGCATAAGGAGAATAGAAAAACTTTAAATGTAGACACTGAAAACTAGAATTAGACTTTTGGGGATATATTAGATTGACCAATATTTATCATTTCCTATTTTTTTAAAGAGCCAAAAATCATTACCTGTATTTATCTTATATGTAACTGAATTCCTTAATAAATCATCCAAGAGATATTTATTGAACACCTACTATGTGTGAGGGTACTTGAGCCTATGCGTTGGGCACTAACGGTGCCATGGTGAGCAGGAAAATGCATGGCAACTTCCCTGAGACAACTTACAGAGATTGCACAAATAATATACAATGACAACGATGAGAAATTTACGTGATGTGGTAAGACTAAATGTTAGGGGCATTTGGAATTCTCTGGAGGTGTCACCCAGAGGAGGCGATGATCCCGGTGAGAGATGGAGGGGATACAGCAGTCAATTTAGGTGCCAAGGGTGACAGTGGTCATGGAGGAGGAAGCAGCAAAAGAAAGTGTATTCCAGGCACAAGGAACAATGAAAGCCCCATGGAGCGGCACATTAAAAGAAATAAAAGGAGGTGTCACTTTGGTGGGAGTACAGGGAATGGAGATCAGCGTGGGATGCACGAGCTACAGGTGGAAGTGAGACCAAGCAGGACATGGTGGACCAGGCGAAGGATTTTACTAGTTCATCCTGAGGAGTGTAACAGGCTTGATTTAAGCAAAAAGATGTCATT